TGTTTTTCTTATAACACGAATGATCCCAACATCCTATAAATATATGCTGGGGGGGGTGGGGGTGGGTGAGCTACCAAGATCATACAGAGCTTCAAAAATGTAAAGAGGTTAAAGACATGTACTTAACCTGCACTGATTCTGTTACCTTAATATTTCTTTAGTTTACACATACACAAAGTTAGTTAGTTGAAGGTGTCAATCTTCCACATCTGTAGTCTGTTTCTTTAGGTGAACTGTAGCTCCTAAAACACAAGTTTTACAGATGATTCATGTTGAACCAAACACTTGGGATGATGCTGAAGATGTTTCACTGGGTCAGTTCTGCTGGTGCTTATTGTAATTTATTACTTTTACATTACGTTTTATGTTCCTCTGAAGAACCTACACCGTTTTTATGTTCACATTGAAGTACAAAGATTGTCGTTTATATGGGTACTTTCTTCTGAATATCATACAGAATAATAAAGTTCAAAAATAAATTATTTTCTTTACTGAATCTGATAATTATTGCCATTACTGAAGTAAATGTACCATTTTTTTTTTACTCTGATTTATTGTTATTAATAGAAGTAACTAAGAAGATCCAAAATAACACATATAGTAACTTACACAACTTTTATAAATGTTAAAAGTTTTAACAGTATGATCTTTTAGGCACAGGATGTCGGTGCTCAGCCAAGGAACAGTTGATAAAGATTGTTTGTGAAATGTTACTTCTAATGGAGTACTCAAAATATATAATGAGTAATTTGTAATATGGCATCCGGTCAAGAGGTCAAATTCTATAAATAATGAGAACTAATACAGCCATAATCTTGAAACTTTAGGAAATAAACATTTGATACGTACTAATGTATTGGTAAACAAGCATTACTGCTTATTTTCAATTGATGATACACACTTTGATGTGTTCTTATTAACCCTTTTATTATGTTTCAAGTCTATTATAATGAGAATTTACATGAAAAGCAAGCAAAGCCAACAAACAAAAAAAAAATCACACCATTTAAAGATATTAGGGTTTATCATATGAAAAAACAAACAAAAAATGAACAGGCCTACTCTTTAACAATATTTTTTGTTTACAACTTAATTAAAATAGAACAATATGTAAAACATAAACCTGCATCATGTTTCATACTGTTTGGTATAGAATATAAAATTAATTTCATTGCTCTGAATTGATCAGAAATCTTTGGCAAAATATCTAATATACAATATAAATTATTTTAACACTGTATACTAATTCTGAATTATAATATAACCTACTATTACTATTAGTACTAAAGCACAAGTTACACTTAACACTAATATTATTCACAGGAACAAGTTAAACAGCTTAAATCCCACTGTTATTTTACTTATTGTTTGTTATTAAGTTATTACTACTGGTACTACTACTACTACTAGTAATAATAATAATATTAGCTTAGACCTATGTTAAACTTAGTTAAAGTTTAAACTAAGCAGCACTGTATTCTTCTTAGTTTTCATTTTAATAGCCTTAGTTTAATTAATCTCATTAATTCAGAAATTAATTTTCTAATAAGTTATTACTGCTAGTACTAGTGCTTTCAACATCTGCTTTCCAAATATATATGTTAATATTAAGACTATACTTAGCCTAACGTAACTTCGTAAGGTAAACGAGTCTTAATATATAACATCCACTAGTAGTAGTAGTACTCAGTAGTAATACAACTTTGACTTCCAAGTTCCACTACTTAAAACTAAAAGTTTAAGTAAACTTGGAAAACAGCATAAAATTATAAAAACATTACAGCATCAGTTTCACTTTCAACATCAAATGTACTCAAGTTTTCCACTAAGCTATGAAGTATACACTTATTACTACTTTTTAGTTACCTTTTGCCAAAATGTTTATCCAAATCAAAGTTACAAAGATCGTAAAACATTCAGCTCGATCGTCTAAGCCTGTACCACTTTTGATTGCGTCATTGACAGTACACCATACTATGGAAAGCCAGATTGGATTCATGTTTTGTGTTTTTTTTTTAAATTAAGCAGTCATAGGCTTTTCTCTTTTATAATAATTACATATTAGAATTTATCAACAGTAACAATTATTTGTTAAAGACATAGTAAAGAGTACTAGCAATTTCACTCTTCAAATAGATGTGAATTAAACTACTTACTATAACAGATGAACCTCACAAGTAAAACGGAAAATCCCACGTCATTAAACTTATTTTACACATAATTTTATACACAAAGTACAGAAAAAAAGAGAGTTTGTTTATTTGTTACTTACAACAAAGCCATATCGGGCTATCTGCTGTGTCCACCGTAGAGAATCGCCCCCCGAATTTTGGCGTTGTAAGTTCATAGATTTACCGTTGTTCTATCGGGAAACAACAACAGCAAAATAAATATAAAAAAAGGAGAGAGAGAAAGAGTATAACCGTCCATTGCACACCCATTTTTACATTTAACCGAGTTACAGAGTTAATAAAGTTGCAATAGTTTACAGGGCAGTCACAGTAACAATTTACCATTCGAGTTAGTTTTCTGGTTAAGTTTTTCACTAATAAGAAAGTATTAATCACAATGGTCATCGAAAATGTAATTTACAAAAAAGCCGATAAGTTTGAGGGCTTATTACGCGAAACATTGTGTTTTGATACCTGCGGTGGGTAGAGCACAGGTAAGGTTGCGCTTTCCAACAAACAAACAAAATTCAAAGAAGCAGAGCTGATACGTTAGTTTTCTTGCTCTTTCGTATATCATTTAAAATTATATTTAATAAAGTTATTACAGATGCAGACGATGACCACAGAACGAATGTTTTAATGAATTATTTGCACATAGAAAATAGACCCTTTCATTTAAACTGTAAAACATTAAAAGGTATTTATAACCAATAGTAAAATATTAAAGAAATACTAAATATAAAAATGTGTATATTTCAAACTGTGCTTTTATGAGTTTGGTAAATCTGTTTTTTCGCATTACACCAGCCAAATTGCCCAGAATATTCTCCGCGATATTCCATAATTTTTTTCTACTTACAAAAGTATAACTACTCTAAGAAGATACTAATAATAAAATTAGAATATAATTTCACAATTTCATTCTTTGTCCCAAATCTGAATCAATATAGCCTTATGCGCAAACATCTTAAACTTAAAATGTACATACAAGTTCGAAAATAATTACAATCTGTATAGTAAATAATCCATTATGAAACTCTTATCTTCTTTTATTCTGAATTTGTGAGGCTAGTATTTTTTGAAGTTTGACATTGAATGTAATATAGGAAAATCTAGAGAAAATAAAGAACTCACAGAATTAAATATTTATTTTTGTTAGCTTTCTACATGTAGTGTGTAATATTACGTTTTGAAGTATCTCGTTTAAATATTTCTCCAGATACCTTGGGCTGTATTACGTTTTGAGGTATTTCGTTTAAATCTTTCTCCCGACACATGTCCCTCAGCGGAATAGCGGTAACTTTATGGGCTTACAACACTAAAATCCGGGATCGATTCCTCGCGGTAAACTCAGCAGATAGCCCAACGTGGCTTTGCTCTAAAACACACAACAACAAACATATATATTTTGTAATATTACATTCGGGACTACTTTGTTCTATTAGTGCTCCAGGTACACTATGTGATATTACGTTCAAGACTACTTTGTTTTATTAGTGCTCCAGGTACACTATGTGATATCATGTTCAAGACTACTTTGTTCTATTAGTGCTCCACATGCACTATGTGATATTATCTTCAGGACTACTTTGTTCTATTAGTGCTCCAGGTACACTATGTGATATTACGTTCAAGACTACTTTGTTCTATTAGTGCTCCAGGTACACTATGTGATATTACGTTCAAGACTACTTTGTTCTATTAGTGCTCCAGGTACACTATGTGATATTATGTTGAAGACTACTTTGTTCTATTAGTGCTCCAGGTACACTATGTGATATTACGTTCAAGACTATTTTGTTCTATTAGTGCTCCAGCTACACTATGTGATATTATGTTCAAGACTACTTTGTTCTATTAGTGCTCCAGGTACATTATGTGATATTATGTTCAGGATTACTTTGTTCTATTAGTGCTCCAGGTACATTATGTGATATTATGTTCAGGACTACTTTGTTCTATTAGTGCTCCAGCTACACTATGTGATATTATGTTGAAGACTACTTTGTTCTATTAGTGCTCCAGGTACACTATGTGATATTATATTTAGGACTACTTTGTTCTATTAGTGCTCCAGCTACACTATGTGATATTATATTTAGGACTACTTTGTTCTATTAGTGCTCCAGGTACACTATGTGATATTATGTTCAGGACTACTTTGTTCTGTTAGTGCTCCAGGTACACTATGTGATATTACGTTCAGGACCACTTTGTTCTATTAGTGCTCCAGGTACACTATGTGATATTACATTCAAGACTACTTTGTTCTATTAGTGCTCCAGGTACACTATGTGATATTACGTTCAACACTACTTTGTTCTATTAGTGCTCCATGTACATTATGTTATATTACGTTCAAGACTACTTTGTTCTATTAGTGCTCCAGCTACACTATGTGATATTATGTTCAAGACTACTTTGTTCTATTACTGCTCCAGGTACACTATGTGATATTATGTTGAAGACTACTTTGTTCTATTACTGCTCCAGGTACACTATGTGATATTATGTTCATGACTACTTTGTTCTATTAGTGCTCCACATACACTATGTGATATTATGTTCATCACTACTTTGTTCTATTAGTGCTCCACATACACTATGTGATATTATGTTCATGACAACTTTTGTTCTATTAATGATCCAGATACTCTGTGTACACATATTTTGGACTACTTTGCTCATTTATTTCATTCAATTAAAATTTGCTCGGAAGGAGCCTGCATTAATAATTGAATACATCTAGGTGCTGCAGCACTGTGTTACTTCAGCAATCATACGATCTTTCAGCAGCTATAACAAAGAGAAACAAGATCAAACCTAGTCTGCCAAGATTTAGGATTTTATTTGTGTTACTGGTAGTCATAGGTTTTTCCCATTTCTATAATGCAGAAAACAATAACAAAATAAAGTTTGTCACAGAATAACAATACATATACATGGATATACATTGACAGTTTCATGTGACCTCTGCCAATAAGTACACCTTTATTTGTGTTACGTCTGTAGTTACGTGATCCTACAGTTTCATAAATTTTATAAAAAACAAAGTATCAACAAAAACTAAATCTGATTAATGTTCTACTTTAACAATATCACAATAGCTACACAAGATTAAAAACCCAAAACAATAATCCTGGAACTTTTAAAATATGATGTGTATAAAAATACTGTAGGTTATGAAAAATGGCAAACAACACGAGTAATACAGACATTGTACACGTTTAGAGATATAATTTCCTAAAATTTACCCAACAGAAAATGTGATATGCAGGTTTTTAAACATGAGATATTAATATGTTTCATATATTAAACTGCTTGATATACAATCTGGAAGAATATCTAACCTAGAGGTTTATCACACTGACGCCTCAGTGATTAAAGCTTGTGATCACCAAACAAAAAATTTTCTACGATATAAAAAAATATCCTTTTCAATTTAGCAACTATGTATCCTTCCAAGAACTGGACATTTACTTCCTAATTTCCTTTGTCTCAGATACGTTTTGTTATCTAACATTTCCTGTTAAATTGCACTTTACACAGCAAGCTGTACACTTTAGTGTATGTTACATACACAAATAACTTTGTACACAATGAATTTGAAGAAGTTACGAGTGAAATTGGAGAATAATGTATAATAATATATCAACCACACGATATCCTTCATATCCACAGCCATCAAGGCTTATCACCAAATGCCAGAGCGAATGTTTTTTTCAAGTCTTTAAAGTGTTAATAAAGCTTCTCATTTAAAAGCAATACATTAACCCAGTAGGATGCTTTCAGTAACCATTAAAACATTGAAGACAAGATATGAATTTGGTAGGTTGTTTTCCGTAACCATTAAAAAATTGAAGACATGATATGAATACAGTAGGTTGTTTT